TGAACCTGCACGGAAAACCACCAAAGGAGGCAGGTAAGGGTTTCTTCTCTTCACACTGGCTGTGAGGTCTGCTAGGACAAGAAAGGGAATGAGCTGTTGTATGGTTGTGAGTTAACACTTTGTAGCTTTGCATTGGTCCAGAGGGAGGAAGTAGGCGAGCCTACTACCACATGTATACTGCAATGTTAGTGTCAGGAAAGTTTGTTTTTCTAATCATTAGTGGGTCAAATCAACATTTGTTTTCGACTGCAGTGATGAGAAAAGAAGGATGGAAATTTTCTCTTGAAAAAATACATTTTTAACAGTGTATGTGGTTTTCATACAGTAAAGTCCATTCATTCCAAAATCAAATGTTAAAGACAAGTAAAGTCTTTCCAACAAAATTTGAATTTTTCTAAGAAAGTTTGTTCGAAATTCTATCCATCTATGGCCAGCTTTAGATTTATACCTTTTTCAGATTGTGTTTTGACAGTTGAAATAAATGTTTCATATGGGACCTACAGATTCTTTTGAATGTCAACTCTTTCAGCATTACTTTTGTTGCTCCTTTTCACAGAATTATATATGTCATTCTTCAGTTGGGGTTGTGAACATAAAGCAATAGCAGTTGATGTATTTTATTGCTCTCTATTTGCTGAATCAGGCTAAGTCACAGACAGAACTAGAGCTAGCTTGCTGGAATGGTAATATATCTATACTTTTGTCTTCATTTTTCATCCAGTGATTCTTGTATTGGTACTTTATGGAAAAAGACAAACTAATCAGAGCTTTCTTTAATTTTTGTTCCTGTTGCTGCCTTTTTTGTGGATTCCTAAAATACCTTGGCAAAAAAAGGGTCTTATATTTGGAAACACAGTTTGCATGCAACAAATGGGTAACCATAACAATATGCAAACAACTAATGGCCAATCCTTAGAATACTCATAGCTACATAGTTAGTCTGGCTGAAAAAAGACAAACGTCCATCCAGTTCAACCATTAAAAAAAAAAAAAAAAGTTATAATCCTATACCCACAGTTGATCTGGAGGAAGGCAAAAAAAACCCCAGCAAAGCATGATCCAATTTGCTCCTGCAGGGGAAAAATTTCCTTCCTGATCCCCTGAGAGGAAATCGGATATTCCCTGGATCAACTTTACCTATAAATGTTAGTATCCAGTTATATTCTGTGTATCTAGGAAATAATCCAGGCCTTTTTTGAAGCAATCCACTGAGCTGGCCAGAACCAACTCTTGAGGGAGTCTATTCCACATTTTCACAGCTCTTACTGTGAAGAAAGCTTTACATGTTTTGAGATTAAATTTCTCTTCCTCCAGATAAAGAGTGCCCGCTTGTCCTCTGTGATGACCTCAGTGTGAATAACTCTACACTGAGTTCACTATATGAACCACTGATGTATTTATACATGTTGATCATATCCCCTCTTAATCTCCTCTTCTCAAGAGAGAATAAATTTAGTTCTTCTAATATTTCCTCATAGCTGAGCTCCTCCATGCCTCTTATCAGTTTGGTTGCCCTTCTCTGTACTTTCTCCAGTTCCCCAATGTTCTTTTTGTGAATTGGTGCTCAAAACTGAACTACATATTCCAGATGAGGTCTTACTAATGATTTGTACAGGGGTAATATGATATCTCTCTCTCTGGAGTCTATACCTCTTTTAATACAAGAGAGGATTTTGCTCGCTTTAGAAACCGCAGCTTGGCATTATTAAGCTTGTGATCTACAGAACCCCCAGATCCTTCTCCACCATTGATTCCCCCAGTTGTACTCCCCTAGTATGTATGATGCATGCATATTCTTAGCCCCCAAGTGCAGAACCTTACATTTATCAACATTAAATCTCATTTGCCACATAGTTGCCCAATTAAACAGTGCATTGAGGTCAGCTTGTAAATTGAAGACATCCTGTAAGGATGTTATTCCACTGCACAGCTTGGTGTTATCTGCAAAGATTGAAATTATATTTTTAAGCCCAGACCCTATATCGTTAATAAATATATCAAAAAGTAAGGGTAGAACACTGAACCTTGGGGAACACTACTGACAACCCTAGACCATTCTGAGTATGAATCATTAACCATTACTCCTCTGAATACGATCTTTTAGCCAGTTTTCCAGCCATTTACATATGGATTTTTCCAAGCCTGTAGACTTTACCTTACACATTAGCCGTGTGTGGGGAACTGTGTCAAACGCTTTTGCAAAATCCAAGCATACTACGTCCACCGCCACCCCTCTGTCCAAGGTTTTGCTCACCCACTCATAAAAAGAAATCAGATTTGTTTGACAACTTTTGTCTTTCATGAATCCATGCTGTTTGTTGCTTAACCACTTGCCCTACAGAGGATTTACCCCCCTTAATGACCCTGGCCTTTTTTGCTACTCGACGCTGCACTAATTAACCCCAACTGATACTCGGGCGGTCATGCAATGCTGCTCCCAAACAAAACTTGATGTCCTTTTTTCCACAAATAGAGCTCCCTTTCGCGTGGCCATTTGATCACCTGTGCACATTTTATTTTTCACGTCGGGACGTATAAATTTAAAAAACGACTGAAAATTTTGAAGAAAAACATTGCTGTTTCATCCCATTTTTAATATTGTCCCTAGTGCTTTGGCCCTATAAAAAAATCTGTTCTTTCTTCCTGGAAACTTAGAAAAGTCCATGGCGTCCAAAAAGCGTCCCTTTACGTCAAAAGCGGTTTTAGACCGGCTAAAATGAGAACAGCGATTGGTAAACAAAATCACTAATAATTGAGTGATAATGATTTGTGGGGAAATTTTCCTAAAAATTACAGTGTAAAAAACTTTTATGCGAAAAAATGGTCCGCTTTCAGCAAAAAAATGGAATAATCATACCGCAAGGAGGTTAATGACCAGGCCTTTTTTTTGCTACTCACACTGCACTAGTTTAACTGACAATTGCGTGGTCATGTAATGCGGCACCCAAAATGAAATTTATGTCCTTTTTTTCACACAAATAGAGCTTTCTTTCGGTGGTATTTGATCACCTGTGCACATTTTATTTTGGGCGCTATAAACAAAAAATTACTGAAAATTTTGAAGAAAAAAACTATATTTTTTTCTGTAACGGCTATAAAAAATATAAAGTAAAAAAACTCAAAGTTTGTCATAAATGTAGGTCAAAATGTATTCTGCTACATGTTTTTGGTAAACAAAATCATAAGTGTATATTGATTGCTTTGTGTGAAAGTTATAGCGTCTACAAACAATGGTATAGATACTGTTTACGCTTTTTTTGCTATACAGCACTGCGCTAGTTTAACTTGCTGGTCATGACCAGAAAGGTGTGGACTGGCATCAGGGAAACGCAGGTCTTACAATATAATACAGGTGCTAAATACCAGGATATAAACGCACAGTGAGCAAACCAACCTTCCCCTTTAGGAGGTGCAGGGGAAACAGTAGACAGGGCCCTAAGTTAGGGTTCTTAATGACCGTTTGAGGCACCTATTGGTCCTCATAGAAGGGCGCGGATTTTTTTTTTTTCACCAGAGTTTGGTGGGGAAAATGACAAAAAGACAGGTCCCGGCCCCTTACCCTGCTAGTGGTACAGGGATCCGCCAGAGTTGTGCAGGTACGGCTGGATCCGTGCCGGATGGAAATGGCAGAGTATTTCGTGGTCAGCACAAGCCGGGTCGGTATACGTGGAGGCAGATAGTACAGAGCAGCAGGCAAAGAGTACATTCACAAGCTACTTCAACAGGAGGTCAAACAGTATAGGAGTACCAGAAGAATGTGGGATAATTTTTGGGAACGGTCAACAGAGATAGGATCAAGCCGGGTCAGCAACGAAGGGAACACAGGATACAGGTACAGCGGCTTGGGAAAACATGGCCCAGAGCACAGACCTTCATGCGTTATATTAACCTGCCATAATCAGCCCAGGTTTGCAACGGCTGCTAAGAGCCCCGCTTCAAATGGTACTGCAGCACCCAGGTTTCCCCACCAGTGCTTGAGCACCCGCTGGTCAACTCTGGTACTGCAGCCCACACGGCAGGTATTTTGAGTCCCACCACCAGTGCCTGAGAGCACCCGCTGGTCAGCTTGGTACTTTTTGCGCTATACAAAAAAACAAAGTGCTGAGTCCATTCCTGACACGACATTGTTTTTTTTGAGAAAAAAAAAAAACAATATTTTGGACTTTTTGCTATAAAACTGTGCAGCAAAAAAATGTAAAAATCAAATTTCGGCATAAATTTTGGCCAAAATGTATTCTGTGACATGTCTTTGCTAAAAAAAAATCCCAATACGTTTAAATTAATTGGTTTACGTGAAAGTTATAGAGTTTACAAATGGCGATATAGATACTGGATTTTTTTTCTTTTTTATACTAATAATAGTGGCATTCAGCAACTTATGGCGGCAATCAGCGACTTATGGCGGCGATCAGCGACTTATGGCGGCGATCAGCGACTTATGGCGGGACTGCAGCAGACATACTGACACTGGTGGGGAACTGACTTGGGGTAACTGACATCCCCAGTGACACCAATACAGTGATCAGTGCAAAAAAAAAAAGCACTGTGTTAATGATACTGAGGAGAAAGGGGATAACATTAAAAGGCAATCAAAGTAAACACAAAAACTAAAAGACACGACAGGTAGATTGCAACCACATCCCTGCTTTGCCGACCTGCACCAGCCCCCGTCACTCTCTTCCTCACAGCAAAGTGGAGAGTTCTGGACAGAGGGTGGGAGCTACAGCTGCCCAAGTTAACTTTTCAATTTAACCAACGTGTTTTTTTTTTCCAAATGTTTGGTCTTTTATCGTATATTTAGCAAAGAATAAAAAACCCAGTGGTGATTAAATACCACCAAAAGAAAGCTCTAGTTGTGTGAGCAAAATGATAACAATTTAGTTTGGGTACAGTGTTGCATGACTGCACAATTGACATTGCAAACTATGAGAGAGTTGAAAAAGGTTAATATCTCCCCTGCTGTCATGACGGGCCAATGCCCCAGAGCCCCCTTGGTGAGAACAGGGGTGTATTTACCACAAGGCAAACAAGCAGTTGCCTAGGGTGGCATTTTTCAGGGGGGCAGCAGACTTTTTCAGGGGGGCACTGCCATCCCCTGAAAGAAGGAAAGGAAGAAGGGACACGCGCAGCACAGGGACCAGGTGGGATCTGAGAGAGGCTGCGGGCTGCTTGATGGTGTATGCAGAGCCTGACTCTTGTTTCCAGGGAGCTGTGAAGGTGGGTGTCAGGAATGGACTTGCCAATAGTGGTGGGACTCACGATGCCTTGTGGGCTGCAGTACCAGGGCTGGCAGCGGGTGCTCTCAACTGGGGCTGATTGCAGGTGGTGTATTTAAGGGATGGCCAGACCTGCAGTCGGTGCCTTGGTGTGTTTTTTCCATGGGCCCCTGTACCTTGTAACCTGCATTCCTGTTCCTGTTTCTGCCTGACTTGTTGCCGACCCTGCCTGATCCTGACCTCTGCTGACTTCTCCTGTTTGATCCCTGGCTTGTGACCCTGACCATTCTCTCCGCCTGCTCCTCCTGTACCTACCTGCCTGATAGTTATCGACCCGGCCTGCCTGACTATGTTGTGCTCTATATGTGTATGTACCTGTGTATCTATACCAGTTTAGGTTTGGGTTTGTTTCACCTTGTTGTAGGTATTTGTGTTAGCTTGGGGTTTGGTGCACTGCGTTTATGTTTGTATTGTTAGTCTTAATAAATTGTCTTGTTTATACCATATCTGGAGCTTGCGTTTCCCTGTATCAGTACACACATCTCTGGTCACACCCGCATCCCTGACATTGGGTGTCTTATCTCTTGCCAGGGTGGGGGGTTTGCCAGTGTATGGGGGGCGGTAGTAGTAGAAGGCTCTCTCAGGTGGGGGTGGGGGGGGGACTGGGGTGTTGTTTGTCAATGTCAGGCTCTCTTCGTGGGGAAGAGGGGTGTTGGCTGGTGTCAGGGTCTCTCCATGGGGGTTGTGTTGCCTAGGGCAGCACAAAACTTAAATACACCACTGGGCAAGACCTTTCTACCCCCTTCTTATATAGCTTTTTCACTCTTCTAACCTTCCCCCCCCTCCCGCCCACCATTTTTCAGTTTCCCTTGCTCTTGAGAGGACCTTTTTTCTGTTTCTGACATTGAAGGTTGCTTTTTGAAGCAAAGCCGTTGCCCCCCCCCCTTTTTTTTTACTTGGCACAACCTGGCCTGATTTTTATGGTCCTACACCTGGCCAGCATTCCTGGAATGTGGCTTTCTGTTTTCTTTTTATATAGCATACTCATCTTGAGGACTGCTTTCTCAGAACTGGTTTGTGCACCTGTCAAAGCAACATATATGTTGAGGCTTAGGCTTCATTCTGAATTCACACTGTAGTGACCATTTTTTTCACACACCCCTGCGCTGGTTCAGATTTTTATCTCACATTATGGATACTGTCTTTATTGCTGCCTGTGCAGCCTACACATTTGTACATGTGTTATTGATGTATCAGTAAGGTTTTTTTGGGTGCCAGAAAGCAAGACAGCAACAACACCATTCATGGATGGTGTAGTATACTAAAACTAAAGTACAATCTTCAGAACATTGTTGGCAAGCAGTTAGTGGATGGAGTCAGGTTGGAAGCAACAATTCAGCTGGATTGCTCACAGTCACTAACAAACACTGTGCAGTAGCCTTGCAGCTCAGGTAGTGACTGTGGTCTTGCATGGTTTTGCGTGGCCATGGCTCAGGGCAAACCAGAGGGTTGTAGATCCAAAGCTTTGAAAATAATTTTGCAAAGCAGGAAAAGGGGGTAAGCAGTGACAGAGAGAGTGTACCCAGTGAAAAGCAATACTAAAAGTATGCACACTGAATGTGTAATTTTACAAAAAATTTCAAGAGTTAAAGAAAAACCATGAGTACACTGACTATAATAGAACTGAAATGCAACTCATTACAAAACTGATCAACTCTATGATGCTCATATCTTCACAAAACTTCTGCGTAGTGCTTACAATCCAATTTGCATAAAAGAAGGAATTGACTGGAAAACAGTGTTTAATACCAACAATGGCTGCTACAAATAGCTGGTAATGCTCTTTAGCATCTAAAAACACCCCCAATATATAATACTTCATGCCCTTTGTAACGGAACCGGAACCCAGACCGCACTGAGTTTTTCCGTTATAGCACAACTTCCCCTGTCCGAACACCATCCACGGACCACACCCCCTTGGAATCCCTCAGGAAAATAGACAATACCCAGCTCTTACTAAAACAGGAAGCCAACTAACTTTATTGTACACAAAACAACATGTTTTATACAGAGGGCGGGGAAAGACAACCAGGGACAGGAAACACATCATCAGCCCACCCTATCAGTGGGAAGGGCTACAGTATAGGCAGGAAACACCTCATCACCCCTCCCCATCCAACCAGACAGAGAACAATGGGATGCAACCATGTGGCAAAGGACAATGACCAACCCCCACACCAATACACAAACAGTACATCCCATAATAGTTGGCTGGGCAGGAAGACACAGCACCATGGGGGGGAGCACATGGCAGGGACAAAGGAACACACACTATACACAATACTGGGACATTCACACCCTGTACCCCTTAACAGGCACAGGGTGGGTTAAACATAATGAGGGGGACATGAGCTGACCAAGCGGTCCCCCCCACCCCCAAAAAGTCACTCCCGTCACACCCTTCTTTATGTTTGTTTAGTTGTCTACCTGGATGACATTCTCACCTTTTCTTCAGATCTTCAGATCACCTTACACACAGGCAGCTTGTCTGCACAGTTCTACAGCATCTGTTGGACATTTGCCAAAGTAGAAAATGCCTTTTGGAACTTCCACAAGGATCCTTCCTCAGCTACTGTACATCATCCCCAAGGATGAGCTCTCCATGAACCCAGAAACGGTTGATGCGATCACAACATGCCCTTTGCCTAATGGCCTCAATTCTACTCAGTGTTGTCTGTGCTTCACAAATTACTATCAGCATTTTGTTAACAACACTCTGTGCCTGTTACTTCAACAACAGCTCCTGTGAGAAAGAATGGTGATCCCAGGAACTGGTCTCCTGATGTACTGAAGCATTTTATGCCCCAAAATAATCCTTCCTCTCTGGCCCTGCTCTCATGAGACCAAACATTACTAACCTTTTTTCAATTAAAGTTATTGCCTGTTCATTGGGAGTTAGTGCTGTTCTTTTCCAGTTCTCATTGGTGCTAGGTGCCCTTGCACATTTTTTTCTCTAGTTCTTCCCATCAAAAAAAAAATATTCCCTCAGAGTTTAGTTATCACTCACTGTAAAACTGGCTTTGTAAGAAGTGTAACCAGGTGCACAGCAGGCTGCTGGAGGAGCAGGCTTTGTGTGTCTTTGCCAATGCTACTCATTTCTTCCCCGCTGCCAGCTTGAAGCTGGGTTGTGTGTTTTCCAGCCAGCCTCCTCCGCCGCTGCACTGAGGATCAGAGCAGACTATGTGACATTTCCCTTGCTCCTACTCCTGCTCCTTTCTAGCAGCCAATCAGGGAGAAAGAACTTGCTGTGCAGCATCCTGCTCCCCCCTGTTCAGATGATATTGCTGAGCCTGGCATCATGGGACATGCAGTCCATAAGGAGCGCTGTGCAACTGAAACTAAAGGGCTTTGGTTTTTAATGCTCAGTGCTCCCTGCATACAGTGGAGGGAAGGACAGAACATTTCCTGGGCAATTCTGCAGAGATCTGAGCAGTCTAGTGTGGGGACCCAAAGAGTACAGACCTGCTATTGGTGGATCTTTGCCCATCCATCAGAGAGCATGAGGATTGAAGCTGAGGACTGAGACACTGATAGTTCTCCTTCCATGCTGAGACCCAAAGCTGCAGGGACCTGTTGCTGTTTGTGCCTGTTGTCAGTGTGAGACGGGGAGAGTTGGAACACTGGGACTGATCCTTATGAGAGACCTGATCGAGAGGACTGAGCTTTATGAGACAACAGGTCGCAAAACATTCTGTACCAGATTTGTTGCATAGCAGGAGTGGTGAGCGGAAAACAGCTGACTTTAACCTTACTGCCCACAGTTTTAATGCCAGTAAAGACCTAACAGCCCATCAGCCTTCTGTTGCGAACAGCTTTGAAGAGACAGCTTCATGTGCACCACCTTACAGATGGGCCCCAATGATAGCCAGCTAATATTGACAATTAGGTGCTAGATACTTTGCAGTCACCTCCAGGGATACCCCTTTGCCATGAATTCATACACCCATCCACTATTAGGGCTGTATGAGTGCACTCAAGGTCATTTATTTTTAATATTGGCCAGTGTTAGGAAAGGCCTGCCCATAGTGCAGGTGAAGTTCCACGGCGCACAAATATGCGCATGCGCAGAGTCCTTATGAGCCGAACAGATGTGCAGGCACTTGGACATAGGCACGCACTCGCACATACAGGCACGCACCTGTTACTAATGCTGGCACCAAAAGGACTATTTAAACTGGCTGCAGTAGTTGTTCCATTACCGTATGGTCTTTTCCCTGCTCATGTTCCCTGATTCCTGTGATTGTCTCCTGATACCGAACCAGCCTGTTCCTGACCTCTGGCTTGTCATGGATTATTCTTCTGTCTCCGCTCCTGTCTGATTGATCTTCCGTTGCTGACCTGGCCTGTGACCTGACTCTTCCTCCTGCCGCTGTAAGCCTGATCTGCCTGACCAATACCGAACCCGGCTCGTCTGACCCTGCATCCTCAGCACGATGCTCTCGGGTATCCATCCATCCAGCACGGCTACATCAGAACTCTGCTCCCTGCCTACAGCTTATCAGCTCATCCGCTATTACTGGACTGATCACAGGCACTCATACCCCACCTTGCCCCTGCGCCCGCTGTCCCACCATCAGTGGTCCTTGAGCCGGAGTTGTACTGGAGGCCTGCCTCTATACGTCAGGCTCACTATCCAGGTACATGACAGCCAGTGTTCACCCTATTTTGGATCTTAAAAAGTGTTCAGCTGTCTGCTTAGTGAGTTATATCTTATGTGACCTGCCTTATTACAAAATAATTGCTTTATCCAACACCCAGCAGTCTGTGGTCTATTATAGAGTAGTAGCATACTAATGCTAAAGTTACACAGGTGTGAGCAGCCTCCAAACAGGTGTGTCAGTGAGGACCAAGTGGTTTAGAGAGTTGTGGCAGAGAACAGAGGATCCATGATACCAAGTTGCTCCTGTGGGGGCAGCGCTACAGTAGCAATACCTCCTGGAAGGATCACCTTCCCAGATCTTGATCTTCATGGATCATAACAGCTTGTGGTGCTATCAGACTGCTTGTTGCTTGAACTTCAGATGTGCCTGGTGGTCTCTATTCTTTTCCAGCTTTGACTTTGTCATTGCTTGTAAACTGGGGTCAGCCAGTTCTCATGCATATGCTCTTTGCCATTTGTTTAAGTTGCAAGATTTTGAAACATCTGTTAAGCCAGAATTCACCATTCTTACTACTCAAATCCTGGCTCTGACCTCCATCCAAGGCTCTGCCATCCCCCGGGGCAAAACATTTGTATCCATGGATCTATGCACCAATGTTCCACTGGGCTCATGATTCAAATTTCACAGGGTGGCTGGACCTCCACAAGGATTTGGAAAAGTTTGTAAAAGCCTGTCCAGTCTGTGCCCAGACTAAGTCTCCCAGTTAGGCTTCTGCAGGTCCCCTTGGCCAATCACTGATCACATGAATCGGGACTTCACACAAAGGTCCTGAGCAGTGATCTGTGTTCTTCTGCGTCCGGAGGACACAGCGGGCACTGATCTCAGTGCCATGTGCTCCCAGGGAGCGCACACAGTCAATGGATGCGGGGGGACATTTAGAAACGTCCACCCGCATTGGCAGTGGCCAGATGGGAAGAGGTTAAAGTGTGACATGTT